AATTCTTAACAAAGGACGGATGGTTCTAACACTGAGGAAACAATCCTTCCCATCCCCTCACCCCAGTGGTTTTAAGATGCTGGTGAATGCTTTTAGCTGAAAATTCACACCTCTGGCATGTAAGATTTCACCCTGAATGACCGGATTTAAAGTTGTTGGTGTCAGAAACAACTGAAAGTGGATTTAGAGCAGTAAGAAGCAGGCAACCTTAACAAGCATAGCTTGCTGTGCCACCTTTTAATAAAATATTATCTGTCATCAAAATTAGCCAACTCTCTTAAAAATTCAGGCTTTGTGGTCTTATTTTTCTGCTCCCCCGCTGTCTGCTCCTAGACTCCAACTGTATCCATGTATAATCTATGGTTGTTGTGCAGAATCGAGTTACTATTCTTTGAATTATAATCCTTCTAAACAAGGTTAGAGATTTCTCCTGGGCCAGGTGCCACTTTCCTCTGCCATTTGTATTTATGACATGATCATGATGGACCTGATATACCATAGCTGGCATAACCTGTATCATCATTTGCACTCTGACAAACTGTGTGAAAAATGCTACAGATGCAGAAAAGTTGGTGTTTTACACATGGGCTGGGCGATCAGTTTGCGCAGGTGTCAAGGACTGTCAGAGGGACAGGGAGGAGGAAACCGCACCCTTGTGACTATGATCACAAGCCCTAGGTGACCCAGAAGACTCTCAGTGATGGACAGTAATGAGGAAAAGAAAGAGAATTAGTAATTCTGGGAGTAGGTGCACAGTGGGGAGAGAGAGTAACAGCAGGGAAGCAATGCAGTGAAAAAATGAGCAAGACGAAGGGGAAGAAACAGCAGAGAAACTGAGAGAAATAAACATGAAATGGGGGAAAGAAACAAGGACAGGGAAAGGCAGACAGCACAAGACGGGAAGGGAAGATCCCTGGGAAGTGTTTATACAGGTAGATGCACCAGAAGTCAGGACACTGGAGTGAATCCCAAACAGCTGTCATGGAGGAACCTGCAGCACATCCACACTGCTGGAAAAGAACGTGAACAGCAAAGGGTCTCACCGTGAATTTCTTGTAGAGCTCATAAGTGAGGAGAGGGTTGGGCAGTTCCCTGAAGTACAGCTTGCAGAGCGACCCCACGCAGTGGATGTCCTGGAGGTAAACTTCCCTTGTCAGATCCGGGCATTGGTCAGAAACAAACTCTTGTCTGAAACAATATGGAGACATAACAATGTAGGAGAATAAGAGCTGTAGCATCCCAGTACTCCACCCTAAGTACTCTTTTACAGCTAGAGGAAAAAACAAACTGGAAAGCAGAGATGTCTCTGCAGCCCAGCCCAGATTGTCTCCCGGGATCAGGCCCCGAGGTTTCAACTAGTCTCTGATTTCCATAACATAGTCCCATGAGTGGACCTCAAACTGATATAAAGACATTGCTTTGTCTTGAAGTGAGAGAGAACAACTCAGCATTTGTGCTGCGACCCTGCAGGCCTTTCCCATTAATAGATGCAGAGGGAGATTTTTTTTTTCTTTGTTGTGGACTAATCCCTGAAACATTGCATTTCCCTGTCACCAGCTTCAGAGACAGTTTCTCTTCTGCATCAATGTAGATCTCTGTAGGCCCCAATCTATGCCTGAGGGACTAACAGTGAAAAGGTACAAAGCAGTGTCACCGAATCCCTCTGGCACTCAGACAGATTGTCCTTACCTCAGCTTTTGTATGTTAGATGTCACTCCTGAGAGGCGGTAGATCCCATCCACAATGCCATGAGTCTCAATGAACTCCGCACAGCTCTTCAGCACGTAGGGGACTAGGAGAGGAAAGCAAGGAAAGATGCCCAATGAATACACACTGAGAACTTCCACAAGTCACCACAGAGGAGACAGTTTCATGAAACAGCAGCAGAGGCTCTCTGCAGATGCAGGGAAGTGTACAGCAATGGGAGAAATACAGGGCAAACCAAAAATAAACCCCACAAAGTGCCCGTAGCCAATTTGCAGTGAGGATATGCTATGGTTGGGCCATGCCACGCTCATTGCCATATGACAATGACTGAGCCTGAAGTCACAGAAACATTGTGGGAAGAAAGGTAGCATTTCTCTCTCTCCCTTTTTCTTTTCTTTCCAGAAAAAGAGGCAATTTCATTCTAATTGAAAGCATGAGGTAAAGCATGAGGTCCTGGGAACCTCCCCCCTCCCCAAGATAGAGCTCCATCCTCGCTGAATCGTGCCAAAAGGTCTGATTGGCTTGGATAAAAATCAGAGAAGCATTTGCACTTCCATATAAGCCTATGTACCCACAGTTTAGAGCTCATAAACTCCCACAGAGGGGGTATAAAGTTCAAATATTGACTAGATCTGCACACTGACAAAATCTGACATTGGCTTCAAAGAACTCTATCAACATAACCAGCTGAAGACTTACCCAGCCTTAAAGCTGAGAGGAGCCTGAAGCACAACATTTACATCCAGACCTGGACCCAAAGCGTATGTTTATTTTTTCCCCATTATATAGGTATAGGAAACCCTCATCCTCTTGGTGAGACCAAGCCTCCCTGTCCCCAGTACTATAACAACCCTAGCTATAACAATAACAGTAAGAGAGCCCTTCCTTATTAGGTGCTAGAAACTGCTGTGTATTTAACGCAATGCTTCACACAGCCATAAGCACAAAAGTCAGTAACTGCAGAAGTTAAGGAAGTTCCCCGCTGTAATGCTGCGCATTCAGAAAGCTGTATGGAAGAAAACAGACTAAGCCACGCATTTGACTGAAAAGCCAGGCATAGAAATTACTGCATCTTTGCAACACCGCAGAGATAATGCCTCTGGCTGGACCTTCCCTGACTTCTTCTGCTTGAAGTTCAGGACCATAACGACATATTAACATGTGCTTCATCAGGCGGCATCCAAAGACAGCACTCCAAGGACAGCCTGAACAAAAAACAGCTGGTACATTGTTACATTTCTCATGGGTGCCGCTGAGGCCAGAGCCAGCTCATGGCTGGACTTGCCCCTACCAAGCAGCCCAGGGCACAGGCTCTGGTGAGGAGGGATGCTGCCTACCTCAGTGACACACTATTACTGAGCCCAGTCAGTTAGGGAAGTGCTACCTTTCTGCTCCCAACTCTTACCGAGGGAGGTAAAGAGGTCCTTCTTGTGTGTCCCTTCTCTTCTCAGCGTGGCCAACCCAAATGGAGGAATACACAAAGTGCTAGTGGTTACTTGGAAGCCTGAATGATCCAAACAGACTAATTCTCCTCAGTTAAAGGAGCCTCTTCAGAACAATAGGGAAAATTTGACTTTATGATTTTTTGAGCAGGGACTCATAATGCAGGTGCATTAGCCATGCTGTGTCACACTCAAAGCCCTTGGGCTGATTTTTAAGACCCTCAAGTTGTTGGGCTAAGACTAACAGCTGAGCTTCTGGCAGGGGCCCTAGCCTGCTACAACAACAATCTTCATGGGAAACCATGAAATTGCCAAGAGAACAGGTGAAGTCTACAGAGTCAAAGCTTTGTCCACAGCAGTTACAGAGCTATAGGATTCTCTCCTCAAGGACTTTTGAGGAGAAGGCACATCAGTGCCTTCCAGAAGGAACATGGGAAGCATTTCTTTCAGTACGTACAGCACCCACTTCCTAAGATGACTAGATGATGTGGAAGGAGACAGAGCAAAAGAAAAGTATGAAATTTCTTTAAAATCCTGCCAAGAAAAGCCCAAGTGACACATCAAGAAAGAGGACCTTCCTATCTCTGAGTAAGACCTGATTATCTGTAACTGCAGTAGGGAGTTCAGATCATATGATGATGAGCATGCTAGAAATAATAAAAAAAAGAAAGGCAAATGACTTCAGGCCTCTTCTTCATTTCTGTTTGGTCAGGCTGTACCATCTTTGTGGCAGGAGCTATGCATACATGGCATATTAAGATTTCCTTCTTGGTAGGGGTCTCTGGGAATAAATCTAATGTAAACAGCAAAAATGAAAGCTAGTCAGATCCATGTTCACTTCAGATCCATTTGTGTGGGAGAATGGGTGAACCACTCCATGCCACCTGGAAAAAGAATTAACTGAACAGAAAACCTATTTGAGCAGGACAGCCACATGACAAGGTTTGTTTAAAAATTGAATAGTCTTTTGTATAGACAAACTTCATATGATGGTGCCTAGCTGCCACACAAATGAGGTCCATGCCCACAGCACCCTTTATTAGATACTTTTTAAAACCTCAGTGTTAAGAATAAGCGCACCAACTAAAAATGCATATACTGATGTTAGTTGTGACTAATTTGACCCCTTGAAAGTAAGACCAATTAAATCACACTTTGTTTTTTGCTGAGTTTTAAGTTTCCTTGGGTTAAATTAGCTCAAGAGGCCTCAGGCAGGTAAGCAAACCTCTTATACAAAAAACATAGAAGGCTAGATCCATCTGTTGAGGACTGGTAAGCAAAAAAAAGGGGCCTGAGGGGAATAATCTGTAGCAAACATATAAAATTCAACCCATTTTTAAAAGTGGGTGAAGACTCCACAGCAGAGACAACCTTATAGACTGCAGATAGACAATATGCACTGAGCTCTGCAGATATCTCTTACTCCAGACCTGCAATCTTCCCTGCTTTTCCAGCCCTGGGCTTCTCACATATCTCTGCCAGTGCCCTTCACTCATCGTGTACATGATTTCCTGCCCTGCCAGGTCTTTGGCTTTTATGAAGAGAAACAGCCAGTTACACCAAAATGTGTGGCGATTTTGTGATGTCAAAAAAAATCCCACATAGGACACATTTCACTCGCAACCAAAATTAGACTTTGACCTCAGATCCCTGGAGGTGAAGGGACTGCATCAGCTTCCTGCGAAGCATGCCCCTAAATGCAGCGCTTGTATGAAACTGGAGCACGATAAATGTTTTCTTTGAGCAGAACCTGCAGCTCTGAAATTCCTGAGCAGCTCTGATCTCCTACAAAGCTGAGTCTTTCGGGCACTCGGGGGAGGTGAGGTTAGAGTGGCAGTGAGCGGCTCTCTCCCACTTCCAGCCATCTCTGAGGCGGTTTGATTATTTCGGACGTGGCTCCCAATGAACCAAAACAAAAGCTGTGATCAACCCTAAATGTGGGGAGGTGCAGACTCTAGCATGCACTTTACAACAGGACTCTATCGGCATTACAGGGCACACGTAAATCACAGAGCTGGGTCTCTCCCAAAGGAAGATTGGACGTGGATGGGGATTTGTAGCAGGGGCTGTGCATGTGTGTGCAGGCACAGAAAGGGGTGGGGAGTGGGGTGTCCAATCTTGACACTTCTATAATTAAAACTGTGCTGGAGGCTTAGAATTTGGAAGAGGCAGCTGGTGTCACACAGACCCCGCTTGTTCTGCCAGACAGCCAAACTGTCCTCATTTAAAACTACAATAGAAACCAGATGGAGGAGGAGAAGAGAGCATGGAGCAAGGCATCAGGCAGAAGGGAAATTGAGTTATAAACATACTGCACACAAAAGACAATACTTCTCTTCCCCTAGACAAAAATAAACCAGAAGGGCAGTCACAGTAACTCATTCCACTCTCACTGGATATCACCTCTGAGCTCAGCGTACGCAGACATTCACCTTCACCAGGGTCTTTTCCATGACCACAGCTCATGCCACTTCCTTTACACGTGTGTGCGGCTCCTGCTAGGCCAGGTATCGCGCCTCCCTCCCCTCCCCTCCCAATCCCACTAGCTGCCAGTGCCAGCGATGTGCGCTGAGCCTCTCGCCTCCCAGCACTGCTGGGAAGGGGACATCTCTCCCTTCTCCTGTCCCTTCCCAGCCATGGCACCACCACCCACCAAACCTCCCCACCAGCAAGCAAGGTGCTCACTCTTTGCCTGCCTGACAAAGGCTTCGTCTGGCACAGGGCCGAGCATTTTGGGTCAAAGCCAGGGAGACCTTTAAGCATGCACCTAACTAAATCACCAAGCAGCCCTAGTAGGAGGGAACACTAGGAAGAGAGGGAGTCACCCCATCTAATGGCTGGTGGGAGGATGGCCTCCTGGTCTCCCACCAAAGCCAGCAAAGAGTGAGAAAGACCCTGGTCCAACAGGAGGTGCAAGCAATGCCCTGTAGCCTTCAGCGCCGCCTTCCAGAAGAAACTTTTAGTCTCCATGGGCTACAGAAGGACCCTAGGGAGAAGGTTGCTAAGACAGCCACCCAAACCAGTCAGGGTGAATACTGTCCAGTAAGACTGTGTTTAAAGTTAGCTAACGTGGACTGAGTCATGTATTCAGGGTACGCTGTACTGAACTGGACTGAATAGCAGCAGGCTTCATTTTTGCCTTTATCCTTCTGTTGTTCTCTCAGAAGGCTCCTTGCAAGGATAAAAATTAGTGACAGAGCTACTCAGGTCCTCCTTAGTGGTTGATTTATGCCACATGGAGGAGGTTTCACATCTTCTCTAATTTTATTTTAATTTTAGTTCAAGTAATGGGAAGATAAATGCAGACCTTTCATTTCACCTGAAACATCAACTTTTTGATGTTTGACTTGCAGGAAATAGTTTGGGGTTTTTTTTTAATTTCTCCCAAAAATGAATCCTGTGCCATAAAAAAAGTTGTGGGCATTTTTATTTCACCATTTTGGTTTTGTTACATATTAGTATTTTTTTTAATTGTCTTCCATTGCCCTCAATAGTAGTGCATGCTTCCTATCATGCTATGTCAATAGCATGACAATAAAGGTCAAAATAGTCTCTTGTTTCAATTTAAATGACTAAATTAGGAAATATTTCCTCCTAAAAAGTAAGTATTTCAGTCTGTACTAAGCAAGAGCTGTTACTTTGT